GCTCTCCTTGTGCAGGGTGACTGGTCTTGTTTCCAATCTCCCATCCTAGTTTTCTGTAGGGAGTGGAGCCTGCTGGCTCCTACCCCACAGCTCTGCTCAGGCTATGTACAGCACAGTAATGATGTCACTGCTTTTTGCATGGTAATATTAGGGTTTGTAAAGGGATTTGGTGCAAACAAAGTGATTGATATCCCCCGTGACTGTTGACTACATTTAAACTTTTTAAAGTGAACTGGCTTGCCAAAAGACTGGAAACTGTGCCCTGTGAACACTGTTACACTGCCACCAGTAAGTGTCTAAATTTGGCCTGCTAGCCACCTATTGCTGTCCTTGTACAGCAGAGCTGAGACCGGAGGAGGGAGAAGCAGCACAAGGAGCCAATCAGTGGTGCTTCAGTGCACGGGAATGCTGATAGGAGGAGAGAATACTGTCAGATTATCAATCTACTGCTTTTTTTCCTGTCCAGTTGCAGTCTAGGAGAGGGCCAAATCCTGTAAGTGTAAAAAGAAAAAAATAACCAAGTGGGGCCTTCTTGCACTGCAGGGGAATACGCTGTAATGCTCTCCACCTAGTACAGGAGGAGGCGGAGACCAGACCAGTTACCCTGCACAAGGAGAGAGCAGCAGTGACCGGTCTCTATTACAGGAAGTTCCTGCACAAAGACAAATACATTTGAACGAATGAATAAAACTGCTCCCATGATGCGTCTGTATCTGGCCCGCTCTGTGTATCTTGTTCTGTTGATCATCCTATTGTGTTGGAGGAAGTGGTCATAGACACAGGACGATTTTACTAAAGAAGTTGAGAATCTTCACTGAAAAAATTGTGAATATTCACTTCAATTATTCATTCCTTTTGAAAGCTTCTGCACCTGAAGCTTTTCACATGATCAGGTATTCAACCTGATCTCCTTTCCTTCTTTAGGGCTTGTTCACACCATCTCCAGATCACATCTGGAATCTATAGGAAAGCATTTTTGGACCAGACAAAAATGTTCTGGTCTGTAGATGGTGTGAATCAGACCCAAACCCATCATCCTCGTTGCATGAGTATGTCTGGTGCTGCCTTCCTATGGCAAGGGATGGATGTCATGGTGGATGTAGAGTCGTAGGTTTTATTGTATTGCGTGATTCCAGCCAGCTTTAAAACCATATCCTGCTTTTTACGATTTCCTACCACCGCTCCACCTAATCTGCTGGAGTTTTTAAAAAATAAAGATGATAAAAAAGGCCCCCAGCGGCATCCGAAATTAGCCGTTACATCTGTTCATGTGACCACTTAAGAAATAATCTGCGTAATCTCTCGTCCGCTCACGAGAACATAAAGACTCTTTTAATCTGAGAAAACATCAAGGTTATAAAGCTGAAATATTATAAATATCATCTAAAGAAGGAATTTTCTTTCCCCCGGTCTGGACAACGCCATTAGGTCAGCTCAAGTATGACTAAGAATCGTGGGAAAATGCTCCGGGGAATAAAATCTCCTTTCTGCGTACAAAAGTCACATTGAGCCAGCGCTGTAATTTTAGCATGCCCATTTCTGTAGTTTTGGTGTTCGTAGTGAAACCGCAGACTGGCATCCCATATCTTCTACGCTCTCTAGTTGCTGATGAGCTACAAGTGCCATCTCACCCTGCCAGATGGAGGGTATACAGTGCGCGCAGATTAAAAGGGCACGCCAGCTATTGAATTGCATTCCTGCTTTTTCTTCAGGGTGGTGATGTGCAGGGTCCTTTCTGCCTCTTCTACAGTGGTGGGTGATAAGCTATGCAGAAAGTGGCGCCTGATGTATTGACTTCAGTACTGCTCTCTGTGTCATTGCATGTAAGTGCAGGACTTCATGGTGACACCAGTGGGCAGGTCTATGACACCCTGCACTCACAGTATGTCCTCTAGAGCTGCAGCTAACGATTATTTTCAAAATCGATTAGTTAGCCGATTATTAAGTTCGATTAATCGGATAAAAAATAAAATACATTTTAAAAAATGGCTCCAGTGATGGGACTACTAGTTTGTATTGAGTTTGTATTGAGATTGCAGTCCATCTCAGGAGCAAGCTTGGAGCGGTAGAAATAAAGTGCAGCGGCCAGCGTGAGGTGGGGAGGAGGTGCGGCGCGCAGTGTGTGTGGAGCCGTGAACAGGGCCGATTAATCAATGGAAAAAGTTGACAACTTTTTCAATCGATTATAATCGATTAGTTGTTGCAGCCCTAATGTCCTCAGTCTTACAAGCCTAGGAAATGGAGAAGAACCCTGCGCAAAATTTATATTAAACCCCTTGCCCTGCGGCTATACCATGCACTGCAAGGGTTCACTGCTCTTTATTATCTAGGGAGGAAAATAAAGTTACTCGCCTGATCCTCCAAGCTGGCTGGCTCTGACAGTGCTCCCTATTGCCTTTCTCCTCCTCTCCAGCGATGCCATGTCCCTCTGCGCTCTCAAGCCCTACACAGTGTATAGAACAAGATGACTGCGATACCTTAGACTGCTTAAGGGCAGAGGGAGCAAAGCTGGAAGGTCCGGTCTAAACCTCACCCTATCCTGGCTCTGAGGATTGGGTGAGTATATCCTTTTTTTTTCCTCCCTAGACCAAAATGAGCAGGTAGCCCCACTCCAAGGGTTAATAAAACGTTTGCTAGGAGGACTTTAAGTTCAATGAAGCTGGGCATCATTTCAATCCAGAAGATTGAGGACACCAAATGGTTGAAAGGAATTACTGCGGGAGATGGCGCCATACTGTTAAGCATTGGCGCCATAGTGTTAAAGGAGAACTATGGGGTCAGGGCTTTTCCCCATTGTTCTCCTAACTAGCGTCCTGCCGTCACGATAAGCTCGGCTACAGCTCGCGGTATACTGAGACGCCGGGACGGATCCCGACATACTGTTGAGATCCACCCTGCTGCGGGATTGACAGCTGACTCTGCCCATCTAGAGGCAGTCGGCTGTGCCCACCCGCTCCCCCGTCTGTTCCGCCAGTCAGCGCTAGAGGATCGGAGTGGGGAATCCCTGCAGGGAGCCGTGAGTGACTGTCAAGGCTCTGCAGGGATAGATCGAGAAGTGAGCGAGCGACGCTATTCGCTCACTTCCCGATCTATTGAGCCGACCTGTGACAGTTTCATTGTCACACATCGGCTCGAACTATGAGGCTGAGTGATTTACACTCACCTCATAATTCTCTTAAGTATTACATCCCAGAACTTTTTTCTTAAAAAAAAATAATAATTTTTTGTTTTGCTTTAAATTTTATAATGTACCATAGGTCTGTTGTAGCTTAAATAGCTGTAAGCCCAATCATTTTAAAATATGGCAATAATAGGTAGGGATACTCCGAAATGAAATTTAGACCGAAACTGAAATAAATAAATTGTCAGGCCGAAACTGAAAATAGCTTTTTTTTTTTTTTTTTTTAACTTTGTTACAGATCCCTTTTAAAATAGAAAAGAGATTGAGGACTTGTGTCCTCAATCCTTTTTCTGCAGCCCCAGCACTCGGTGAACAGGAAGCTGTCAGCACAAAGACTTCCTGTTAATTCACAATCTGGAGATAGTAATTACTATCAATCAAGTCATGAATGGTCAGGAAGTCTCTGTACTGAGCTGCTTCCTGTTCATAAACTGAGCAGATAGTAAGCCTCTCTTCATAAATGAACAGGAAGTGATGTGTAGTACTTCCTGTTCATTCATAACTGGGGACATTGTAAATAACTCAGCACATGCTAAGCTAACACCACTCAGCTATCAGTACTCATCGCTGTGTGTTTGTGCTCCGCTGTCTGTCCTCACTGCTCTGCCTGACAGCTGTCTCCTCCCCACGCCGCCCTGCTCGACGTCCTGGCCGCTTCTCTTCTGCCCACTGGGCACTGGCAACTGGATCAGCTTTTGTCCCCTCCAATCGCCACTGCCGACAGGCGGAGATCGGAGGGCACACAGACCTAAGCTTGCAGCTGACGTTCAGCGGGGGGGAGAGAAGCTGGGAATGCTCCACATTTTCGGTTGTTTTTGTACCATCGGCATGTTGCCCTTGGTACCATTTTGGGCTAACATTTCGGTGCATCTCTTTAAAAAAAAAATAAATAAACTTTCAACATTTCTAAATCTGCAGCAATCATTTAAAAGAATTCTTGGTGATCCTGCCATGAAGGCCTTTGCTCAGGCATTTCCTTCTATGAGGTGACAATGCTTTTCAACCAGTTTCCAATTGTTGCCCGGAGATGCTTTAGGTAATGATGTAAATTTAGGTGCTTGTTTGGCGCACACTGCGGTCTCTAACAAATTTTACATTTTTTTTTTCTGTACTTTTTGTGTTGGTTGATATAACACTTTGACATAAGCTGCAATTCCCTTTAAGCTAGGAACAAACCTCCCCCCTGTGGACTATGCAGAAGGCGTATTATCCTAGGCACTATAATACATGGGATTGTTAATGATTTAATTGCAGGCGTGCACAGACTCGACTTTCACGTGTGTTTTTTTTTTTATTTTTGCAAAAATGAGATCATAATATGCGCCCTCACATGGGAATGGGTTTTTTTTGTTTTTGTTTTTTCTTTTTCTAACATCGTTTTGTTTGCCTTCTATTTCTTCTCTGTGAATTTTATATTCTTCGCGCCAACAAATACAAGTCTAATCATAGTTGCCATTTATTAAACATAATCCAAAATGCAAATATTAGGCCTCATTCACACACAACGCAAGCAAAATTGTATATTGCGTATATATGAGTCTATACGCGTGCACTATATGCAATCCCAGAATGCATCACTCGTAATGGAATTTTTAATGTGCTGTACGCGTGTATATGCGCGTAACTACGCTGCCATGACGCATCTCTGTTCCATTCTGTTTTTGCGCATATATGCGCTACTCAAATATACGGCTCCATACGCGGCTGTGTGTATGGAGCCATTTATTTGCATATGCTACAATACGCGCGGCAGTTTTAATGAGGCCTAATTCCATGATTTCAAAAAAAATTCTTTTTTTTTTTTTTTTCTTCCCTCAAGATTTAAAGAAGACGCTGGCGGTTCTTCTGGATAATATTTTGCAGAGGATTGGCAAATTGGAATCAAAGGTTGATACATTGGTCCTAAATGGCACGGGATTGAACTCCACCAATAGTACGACGACTGCCATTCCCAGTGTTGGCACTGGGGATAAAATAAATGTCGCAGGTATGTTGTGTTTCTTTTTTTTTTAAAGCAGATTTAATGCTATTAATGATTAGAGATGATCCTGGACTTTGTGCAAACCCAAGTGAAAGAAATTCCCAAATTTTGGGTTGACGTCAGAACAGGAATAGATGAGAAATCTTCCAGTGGGGACACTATTTCCGGTGACCCTGCTGACCACGAGGGATTTCCTGTTTGCCCAAGACTGTCCTTCAATCCCCCACCCCCCTCCTGGCCCAATCAGTGATGGCATTTGTGGTGAGGGCTTCCTCCAGCCATTTGTAACGTATAACTGAGGGGCAGGTAATGCTCCTCTCCGCAACTGATTGCACCGGGAGAAGGGGGTGGCGGTCATAGCTTTGCGCAAGCTTTGGCGATCTGGGTTCACACCAAGCCCAGGCTCGTTACTACTAAAGGTGTACAATTCCAATCATCTGTAGTTCAACCTTTAAGCTGACCATACACCTAATAGATTTATCTGCAGGTTTTCTATGGTCAGATGGAAAAAGTGCAACAGATTCCTCATCTACACTAAACTGTGTGGATGGCGGTATCTCCTGCTGGGCCAAGCTTCAGTATCTTGTAAGTCGGACCCACTGGCTCTCAAAATACTTGAACAATCTGGATGCAGGCATTGTTCGGGTATTGTGACAGCCAGCGGGGCCGACTAACAAGACACTAAAGCTTGGCCCAGTGGGAGATTCCTCCATCCACACAATTTAGCGTAAACGGAGGAATCTGTTGCACTTTTTCCATCTGACCACAGAAAATCTGCAGATAATCTATAGGTGTATGGCAAGCTTAAGGTTAGTCCATTTTATGGCTAAAGGTTCATGGGTTGTGTGGCCATCACCCCTAATAATATTTCAGATTTTCCGATCCAAAACCATCCATATGAGTGATCAATGAGCTTGCTTTAAAGCTCATTTACTGCTTATGAAGCATATATAAATATTTAATGTCTGTTGCCTGGCCGCAGGCGCACTTTTTAAGTGTTTTTGAAGTCATTCTTCAAAACTGCAAAGTCATAATACAAAATGTCCCATGTAGCTGTGGCTGCGTTTTCACATAAGCATCCCTGTAAACATAAGAAATGCCGTTCCATTGGTCAGTTAGTGAAACTAAACTCAGGAATTTTAAAAATACATTCAAGTACCTTTTTAACTATTACGATGGGGAGAGGTAGAGAGAGATCGCTCTATCTCGTTTGTAGATCCTCCAATCATCTCTGAATTGGTGCTGACACTGTCCTTCCTTCTGGACGGGGGCTACTTTTTGTTCCCCATGGTCCCTGTGTGTTGTAAAGTAGTCACCGCTCCAAGCTCACTCCTGTGATGGACTACAATCTCAATGCCAATTGGTAAACTTAACATGAGATTGTAGTCCATCACAGGAGTGAGCTTGGAGCAGTGGCTACATTACCAGGAGGCCTGGGAAAGTTTCCGAATTTGTGTAGGAAGAAATTGAACTTGCTTTACGTTAAGCATTGCTACAATGTCCCACCTGGCAATCTCCCCTGACAATGTGGCTTGTTACATTGGCAATGGGCAATTTTATATAGAACATGTCACAGATGGGTACATTTTATGAACTGTACTAGTACTTGACCTTTGAAGTTGTCACAGCTATTAACATGCATCGGTGAGTTCCCTTAGTCTGTGCATTGTGACGTTTTATCACTGTGTTCTGCTCCATAAAAAATCCTGATTGCTATGCTGCCAAATTTTACAGGTCATTACTGATCTGCTGATAGAGTAACTTCCGTATTTTACATGGGAGCCTGGTTTGCTATGTGCATTTTATGGATTTTGACCTATTTTTAAAAATGTTTTATTCAGTATTGTATTTTGTTCTGTATTTTGCCATGTAATATACAGCCACATAAACTCACAATGCATTTTTATATGAACTTCCTCCATCGTCATAGAAAACTGGATATTGAAGTAATCTATATTTATTTTATATGCATACACTTGCATAGGAACATGTGAAGCATTGATGACCCCGATTAAAAAAAAAAGCTGTAGTGGCATTTGAGGCTTCCTTCATGGCGGTTAACCCCTCTGTGACCACAATATGTTCAAATGTAAACTGTCCCCTGATATGGGAAGTATGATTAACCTTGTAACAAAACTTGGAATGCAGAACTGTGTGTGTTCCTAGCATGCCCTCTGTCAAGAACAAATTTAGTCATGGAGTTATAGTTAACTGACGCATGCTAACGCTGCTTAACCTGACCTGGTTATTTAAGAGTCGGAAAGCTTGACTTGCAAAAGGGGTTAAGCCTGGGGGTAGGCAACATTGGCAATCCAGCTGTGGCTGAACTCAGGAGAGCATGCCTGTTGCTGTCAGTCTTGCAATGCCTCATGGGATTTGTAGTTTCACCACAGCTACAGTGCCGGAGGTTGCCCACCCCTGGGATTAGCCATGTTAAAATGACATACATTGCCCGAGTGTGCACTTAGGCTATGCTTGCAGACGGAACCTAAAGAATATTCAGGGCATGCTCTGTGTTTCACAGTCAACAGATGAAGTTTGATATTAAAATGTTTACACTTTTTTGCCAGAAAGTAATACATTTAGGATGAATAAGGATAAATTAATTAAGGATAAATTGCCAATTTCCTTGTAATCCCAGTAGCAGTCGTTGCCTATTTGGCAACTTCTGGGATATGTCCCTATCTTCTGCCTGCGCTAGCGTTATATGGAAGGATAAGAGGCAGGTGGGTGACTTGCTACTTCCACGGACAAGCTCTGCACTGCAAGTTATGAAAGCAAAAGTGTAGCTAAACAAAGAGTTGGCCGTGTAGATTTCTCACTTGTATACGTGCACACACATACAAAAGGGGCACAGGGATGAGAAACATTTTCATCACAGTGCAATGTTTGTAATACCGCTCAATTTTACCACCCAGGTAGAGTTGACGATGCCCCATGTTTCAGGCCTGAAATAGATACTTCAGTTCCAAAATCACTCTTTTGCTGCATCAACTTTTTTCAAGCATCAAATCTGTAGGTGGTAAAGGTGTAGAAAAGAAAATTCGTCATGGTTTCTTCCTACTTTTCCTTTTGATTGTTTCCAGTCCTAGGTTATACTTTAGTGAAGGAATGATGTGCCTAGATCATACAACATAGGCCCCAAATTTTCCACTCGCCCCCTCGCAATTTGCGAGTGAAAATTGCGTGGGGGCGAGTGGAAATGAAGCCATTGAGTCAGGCACTCAACTCCTGGAGGGACTCCTGGACCTCCTTGGGGCGGCTTCTCTCCTCCTCACCGACATGATTACAGTGCTCCCTCGTCCGTGTGCCCCCAGCTGTCAGGATGGCCGAGTGGGAAGGAGATCGGAGCCGCTGTCATCCTGTCAGTTTCAGGATGACAGCGGCTCTGTGCGAGGCAGAGCGGGGGGATCGATAAATATAATTTATTTACTGGTCCGCCGTGTGAGAAGGACAAACACTGGAGCCATCGTCTGATCTCTCCAGTGTTTGTAAATAACTGGGGACACATAGTACTATGTGTCCCCAGTTATGAATGAACAGGCTGTGATTTACATCACAGCCTGTTCATTTAAGATTTCGTCAATGGGGAGAAGCACTCAGTACAGAGGCTCCTCCCCATTCAGAAACTATTGATAGTAAATATTTTACTATCAGTGTCTGAATGAAGGGGAAGCCTCTGTACTGAGTGCTGAGGCTGCTGAAAAAGAAATTGAGTATTTGGTGTCAATTTATTTTCTATTTTAAAAGGGAAATGTCAGGGGTCTGTTTGGACCCCTAATATTTCCCCGAAGCCCCCCCAACAGTAAAAAAATAAAGAAAATAAATTATTTTAAAGGGAAAACTCCCCCCCCCACCAAACACACATATACATATTATTCATGTGCAGAGACTAAAACATTTCATATTAAATGAGTGTGTTATGGTCTGTGCGTTGTGCTGTGGCTGTATGTGTAATGCCCTGTGTGATGTGCTGTGAGCGCGTTGTGCCCTGTGTGTGTGTTTGTGTTTATGCAGGGCAACTGGTGGCGAGTAACTTTTGAAGGCCTGGCTAGTAGCTCAGGATCTGAAATTTTGAGCCCTGATACAACATATACCATAATAAAGTTCCCTTTATATTTTTCCATGCGATGTAAGTTGTATGATAAAAAGTAGGAGCGGAAATGTGCAGAAAGATCATGTATTAGATGATGGACAATAGGAGGTGTGAGGGGGATCTTTACACATTGTTGTATTTTTCTATAATCGGATTATTGCAGCTGCATTTTAATTTGATCATGTGAAGTAGCAATAAGATGAGCAGAGATCCAGCTCCAGGCTTTGGCTCTCGGCTCCATTTGGATTTCAGTGCCACTCCAGTTCTGCTCAAGCACCAGAGCTCCTCTTGAACAAAACATTGATCGCTAGTGCCAGGCCATGGAGTCAGACTCTTTCTGACGCTATGCTAAAGCATCATCTTGCCCAGCAGAAATGTTTTAGGTTGTATGGCATGAACTCAAAGTAAAGGTTTGATATGTTATAAGTAATATCTGGAGATGTTACAGGTACTTGGCACGACCCTAAAAAAAAAAACAATTTTTGTCTTGAATTCATCCTGAAAAATATCAATGCACTTCTGACATGCAAGTGTGCCTAGGCACCAACCCTGTTCTTTAGCCTAATAGCTGTATGCTGCCTCTGATACCAGATTTGGAGTGAGAATTTGTGATGTCCCTACTGCTTACTGTTCTCTTGAGGGCTTGCTGGAGAAGAAACTGTACCTGAGGACCTGCAAGGAAGCATCTCCCCACTAATGCTTCATTCATTCTTTTGGATCTGTTGATTTGCTCTCCAGATTTGGAGTGAGAATTGGTGATTCTCACTCCAGCAAGCCTACTGCTTACTGTTCTCCTGGGGGGCTTGCTGGAGAAGAAACTACCTGAGGACCTGCAAGGAAGGATCTCTGTACTCTGCTTTATTCTGTGGATCTGTATTTCGTCAACCTATGCTGCTACTTCTTCCTGATC